TTATGAAGCCTTAGAAGATTGATTCTAAGTATCAAGGATTGCTTATAGTTAAAGATTAATAAGTACACATTTGCCACACATGTTGAGAAATCCGATTATTGATTTATTAAAAAAGTCATTCAAACTCACAGTCTGAAGGAAATCTAAGAATAGATGCAAAGAAACAGATGCTCACCATCACCAGTTAGCGCCCTTTGAACTACTGCAAACTAGCTGAGGATTTCTGTTTATCTTAATGCACGCTTAAGCAACAGAAATAACAACAAAACTGACTATCCGTTGTTTGGTTGAAATCTATACGTTTGGTATTTGAAATGTTTGTAATTCCTTTTTGGCTAATGACCTACAGCTTTGAAGGAGATAAGAGCTGAGCTACAGCACAGCATTCATGAAGAGGCTTCTGACTAATCCTGTAAAAACAATGCTCAGTTCCCTCTTTAAGGAAGGAATCTGTAAAAAAAAACAAATTTGTCATATAATACCACTTCACTCGATTTTCAAAATAATATGTCTTGAAAAAGCACCTGAATACATCTGTTTCATCAATTAGCGGATACCTAGAAATTGAATTTCTTATCTTGAAAGCAGGAAGAATTCCCCATACATCTTCTCATCAAATTAATATGGTAGTAGTTACCTGATTCTGTATGTGAGGCATGTGTGTGAGAGAGAAACAAAGTTGCAGGATTTGACAGAAAAGTCCAAACACCAGACCTTGGATAACAGGTCTACAGATTACAGCTTTCACTCCTTACATGATTTTTGAATAACTGCAACTACATTTAGTTAAGCTCAATAGTACAACTGTGCTAGAAGAAAAAAAAAATCCCATCCCTAAGAACAAGACTCAAAAAGAGGTTTTCTTATGAATCGTGAAAATCAAAACTCATAATAAGTTAATAGATAGAAAAATTTGTCCAGTTGAGAGAAAGCATCATTTTTTATTGATTATGCTTTTTACACTGCAACCCAGGGAAATCAGTTCCCAGGTTTTTGCCTAGATAAGGAACCAAAGCTGCAAAAAGAAACATATAAGAGACCTTAGACAAAGCCCTGCAGCATCTTTGCCCATTTTTGGTAAAGAAACTGCGTAAACTAGATCGTATACAACTGCAGAATTCAAGCAAACAATTTCACACAATATATGTTTGTTAAGAGTTCATTAAATATTGGTATGGTATAAAAGTACTCTTACCACTGTACAGGAACAGTTGAATCACAGTCTGAACCACTGACTGAGCACCCTGGGAAAGGACCGGGTCAGCCCTGGTAGCACAGGTGAAGGCAATTCAGCTGTGTGCCCGGAAGGGGTGGAACCTGGCTCCACCTCTCCTAGAACCCATTTAAGGGCTGACTGCCACAGGGGAAGGATCTCTGATTGGAGATCTATCCCTTGTGGAGTTTTTCCCTGCAAGCCTAGATCTTCAGAGACAAGAGAGCATTCTTTGCATTTGTCCTTTTTTCTGTTTCACTCTTGTATCACCTTCCCATTACACTAATCTTTCCAACTGTAACATGTTTCTGACTAGAACTACAAAACTGCTACAAGAAATATGACGCATCATAGGATCAAGGATCACTTACACAAGTAACACTTTTCCTATTTCTTTTCAAAGAAAGTTCTGTTAAAAATGAGGCTGCCATAATGCAAAGCAATGGAAACATGAAATCTCAGCATTATAATTGCATACCAAAATATATACTTGATAAATTATTTAATTTATGGATTCCGTTAAGGATTGTACCTTTCTTGGATAAGTAGAATGAACAATCCAAGGGATAAGTATTTGTAATGAACACATATATACTATAAGTTTTTGTGCTCATGTTTTTACCTACCTGCTACCTACTTACTCAACCTGCACATTAGATTAAGTAGAGATTTCTACAGTATTTTTCATGTTTACACTCTTTTGTGTTTTACTTCTGATGTTTGTGCAGTGCTGCACAATTATTAAAAAAGTGTTTTGATTCAAAAGCAGTAAACTGATGATAGAAAGTCTCATGAGTTTGCTTAAACAACTAGTCATTGAATGAAATGCAGGAAGAATATCTGGACAGAATCTGAGCATCAGATGTAGATACTTCACATTAAAGATCACTAACTGGCCTGCAAAGAGGCAATTTTCCCTGGCTCTCCATTTCTGCTACTTCTAGAAACAAAGGTGAGAAAATTACTTAAATTGGCACCTTTCTTGGGATATAGCAAATAATCATGCAGACATTTAGCCTGATGTTTCTCTCATAGCATCCAAACAGTTGAGCATCCAAACTCTCCTAGAGGGTGATGATCTATCAATGTATTACCTTACCTCTGCATTTTGCATTCTCAAAACCAGTAATCTTTTCAAGTTGCTAGATGCACAAACCTTTAACTAAATCATGCAAAAAAAAAAAAAAGTTCTAAACACATACTGCCTTACAAAGCACTAATTCTATGCTCACATTCCACAGATACAGACAACACATCTTTAGAGGGAATATATACTGTGTACTTCAGGAAACATATCTTAGCAGGAAAATACACTTTTTTCTGTGTCTCCCTTAAAGTCTGTGTAAAAGGGATAGAGACATGAGATTACAAAAAGAGACACCATTACAAAAAAATAAAATGAAGGAAGTCGCATCACAACTCTGTTCAGTGAGTTGCGTATGCAGTGTTCTCTCCTCAGGATATCAATCTCTCTAAAAGCATTGCTGCTCATCTTCACTGTTACCATCTAATAGCAGTAATTACTTCTTGTTCTGTTTTATCACATGTCACAGGTATTAAATTGCTTTTTGCCACTGAAGTATCTAAAAAAGATTTTCTTTAAGCAGCTATCACTGCCTAAAAGGAAGTACATGAGCTCTTGCAAAGACAGATGCAGCAGATGTGCCCACAAACATAAATAGTTGCTAGGGAGGTCAGAAAACTCTGCATCTGAAGAGGCAACTGCACATCCATTCTCTATATGCTCTCCTGTCTAAACATAGTGGTTTAGAATGTACATTCACATGTCAACCTTGTTTCACAACTCTATGTAAATGATATATTTAATAACTGAAACTGAATTATCAGTCTTTAGTAGATCAGCTTTTGTATTTGTTATAAAACAGACTATGATACTATCTTTATATATGAGATATCATGACTGGAAGACAAAATGGGCTAAGGATAACCTAGAAAGCATAGAAGAAAATAAACATTAGGGGCTTTTATCATATATATACATTCACAGTATATCTTCAATTGAAAGTTAATCACCTTTTTACAATTTAGAGGAAAAGGTGGTTTTTAGGGTAGTTAAGCCATGTATCATCAATACCATGAAGCTAACCTATCAGTTATAATAGCTCCTATAAAGTATCAGAGTGAAATTGCAATAAGCCTAGAAAATGGGCTACAAATCCTAGATATGCTCAAGCAAGCACTGAACCAAAAATAAAAATAGGTAGATAGGAAACCAAGAACTAGATAACATTCATCTCATTCATGACCACTAACAGCAGAGATCACAGGCCAAGGTTTTAAGGCATCTTATTCTGTTTCAAATGGCAATTATTGGATAGAGGTTTCAATGGCTATAAAAACCTTCTCTTTTTAAAAGTTACATTCCTAACAGTTCCTTCTTATTCTCTGCATGTGCAACGGAACTTACATTTCACAGAACTATCTTATTGTATTAAGGCAAATAAGGATTTGAAAACATTTACTGTTCTCAAGTAACAAAGAAAGTCAATGCTACAGTATTTACCAGTGAACAATAAACATATCCCCATATGATAGTCTTTCCTATCTCTCCTTGTCTTCCAATCACTTTTCTGATAAGAAAGAAGTAGACTGCGCTGCAGTAATTATATTTTAACATTTTAAGTTAAGAAGTGAACTCCTCCTCTTCATGACTACCTCCAAAGAAAAAAATTCTAAAAAACTCATTAGAATCCTAGCTTAGAAAAAAAGCTATTAGGAAATGCAGTTACCTACATTGTACATAAAAGCAAAGACAGCAAAATTTTATTCCTCCATTTATAAATATTACTCCTAGAGCTGGAGACACACACAAACACAAAAAAAACCAACAGCAAACAATTCCTATTTGTAGACATAGTTCCAGAACAGTCTCAAACACTCTCACTCCAAAGGAACGTCCGATTCTATAAGAGGTGTGTCACTAATTTTTTTTCACATGCCTTTTTCCCTTAGCCAGTCAAACAGAAGAGATTATGAACAGATTTTCAATGCAAATTTTGGAAAGAAAAACAATAAAATTGAGTATTGTAACACTGTAATGCAAAGGGAAGCACAACAATAACAGTCAAGTTGCAAAGTCCTAGGCATCAGCAAGTGAGGACTTGCTCAAATGCAACAGTCACGAGCAGAGACACAAAGGAAAGAACCTGATCACCTTCAGAAGGTTTCAGGTACACAGTGATCTCCAGCAAGATACTCTTGCCTCTACTGCCAACCCTTAAAAGAAGGGGTTCCTGGCTCCATCTCTTCCAGTCAGTCAGGTGTGTTGTATGCACCTGAGCTCCCCTGGGTTGGCCCTGCCTTCCCACCAGGAGCTCAATCACTGGTTCAAGCCATGACTAAACATTTCTGCTACAACCACATACTCATTCTAGGACACCATCAGAATTAGAAAAAATTGAAATGAATTGGGTTTGATTTTCTTTTTAAGAGGAGAGAAACATATTTTCATATACACGTACTATATATACTGAAAAATGTGTTAATTATAAGGAAACCAAAATACCTTTTCCTACACAAAGCGCAAAATAAGCACTGAGGGACAATCTTGCATTGTTTTTGTCATTTTAGCACTCAGATATATTATATTAAAATAGAACTGTAGTAGAGAGAGTCTAAAGCACAGAAACAGCAGTGACACTGAAGTCTTATCTTTCCATTACCTATTCACAACATTAGGAAACAAGAATGAGAGGAGTATGCTCTTACAAACAAAAAGGCAATAAGAATGGCTCGTAGAAATGTTAGTATCAATGAAAGGACCTACCAATGCATTTTGGTTTCCTGCAGCCTTTTTTGCGTTTCTTGCTGGCATTCCATGAAGATGACTAAACCTGCTCTGGAAACCTTCAAATAAAAAGTAGAGATTCGTTTAAGCATATTTCCTATACTATATAATGAAGAATATTTACCTTTATATAATAATCTATTGATTTACCTTTACTTAAACAAAAATACATTTAATATAGCCAGCGTACTAATAGGAAAAAGAAGAACACAAGGGGAAGTGGTTAAAAAAGGCTAAGCTGTAATGAAAATGAAGTCTTCCTGTAGATGCCATCCTGGTTCTATGCTCAACTGGCTAAATAAGCGGAACATATAAAACTACAGGAAACAGATTTTACATTGCTTACAATATCATTAGTACTAAAAAGCATTAAATCCTGTGAATATTCAGAGACCAAGACCACTGAAAAAAACTGCAAGCATCAGGAAAATAAACCTCGTAAGAATTCAGTGAGTTCAATATGTAGATAAGGAGTCTGAAGATAATTTGACCACCGTTCACATGAAAGATCTATATCTGAATGTGAAAGAAGGTAAGGTAAGATAAAAGTGTGGCAGAAAAGTGAGGTCTGACAACTTCAGTCCTGAAAGAGTGGATCTATATGTAAAGGTATCAAGCGCTGGAATACTGTGGCCACTAGACAGAATGGATCCACTGTTGTTTAAAATATTTTAAAGTAAAAATTAAATAATACTCTTAGTAACAATCTCAACCCTTGCTCGAAGTGAACACTTAATTCTTTTTTACAAACAATGCAGCCTGACCATAAAGCAAAGCAAATGGTCAAAGAACTCTAGTAAAGATTCACTTTAAGCAATACTTACTACTTCTCAATGCAAACATCAAGACAACAACAAAAAGGCTATGAAAATGAGCCAAGTTCTACATTGACTTTTGTAATTATTGACAGTTTTCTGATTATTTGTGAGATCTCAAAAGTGACATAATTCAAAAAACAAACTGGCATCTCCAGAACGTTCTCAATATTTAACATACTTTACAGACATCTTTCTATTGTACCCAAGTGATTCTACAGTTTGCATATGATTGTCACTTACCTCTCCTCCCTGAATGGGACATGAGGGGGAAAGTACCAGTTAAGATACTTTCAAAGACTGGGTCGGGCAATTCTCTGTCCAGTTCTGTAGAGCCTTCTTGATCCCACCAAGGAATGACTCCTGTAATTCCACATGCTCCACCAGATTCATTTTCATGAAACCAATCACTCTGCTCATCATCACCTGTGTAGGGACATACACCCAAGCCCCCCAAAAAACAGGGAGAAGCAGGAAGATAAAAATCAGATGTTATCATCCATAAACACTGACAGGACAATTCTTTCTTTTGCTTTATAGCTGTACAACAATTACTTGTGTATGGCAATTCTATTTGGAAAATGTTTCTCAATAGCATGACAAGTGCTGCCATCAATGAAAGCACATAAAATGTAATGTTTTAAAACCAATTTACAATAGTGAAAAACAATAATAAACTAGTTAATCCTTTGGCAATAACTGCAGGGAAATCCATTTAAGTTACTGCACTTTACATATTAACAAAAAACAAGCTTTAATCTCCTGCAGGGAATTAAAAGGTATAAAACTGTGAAACTAGTTCTTTGCAGCTGATAATGGTATATAATTAGCTTAATTTCATGATTTGTATGGCTAGTAAGAGGGGAAAACAATCATGAACAGATGTGACTAAATGAAGTTAATCTGATTAAGTTCATTTAGAAATAAGTTTTGAAAAAGTTGATTTTAAATGAAAACTGACAATACCATGTGATTGAGCATTACACTGCATTATAGTACAAAGCTGGTCATTTTACTAACATTTACAGATGTAGTATTTAAATACATGGAGTCAAAGGCAAAAATGAGATGACTGAAAATCTGATCTTACATATGCCTCATATACAATACCAGCAATTAAAATAAATTGCTATGTTTGTCTTTAAAACATGTTCCTTTAAACTAGGTAGTTGACAGAATACCAGAAAATATCTTTAAAGACAAGAAAGAAAACTTGCCATATACCCCAAAGTTAGATTTTAAAGGGTGTGCTATACTCTTCCATGAAGTAACAAACTTTCTGGATATCTTTTTTCAATTTTTTTTTTATTAGGCATGATTATGAAAGACATAAGGCACAAAGGCAAGATTTAAAACACAAAGTTAAGAACAAAAAGCATTAGTGAAAAGACATTACCACTCCTTCCTATAATGGGAAAATACAAATAATGAGAATGTAAGTCTGGGGAAAAATAAAATTCAACATACTTTCTCCAAATAAGAAGATGTTGAATGGAAAAGAATACTTCTCCAAGCACAGAAGAAAATGCATGCAAATGATTGTCAGGACAAGCACGTCAAGAAAACAGAATAATTAAGTCCTTTACTGGTATCTTGCAGATGACCTGTGATCTTTTCATAGTTAATGATCTCTACAAGCAGTAAAATTAGTAAAGGCTATAGAAAAGAAGCTTTTAGATGCAGGAAGGGAAAAACAGAGACGGAAAGGGATTTACAGGACCAAATAGTAGTTACGTTTGAGGACTTTTCAGGCAGAATTCAGGTTATTCAGAGTATCTATTTGGATGACACCAAGCTGTGGGGTGTGGTCACACACCAGAGGAATGGGATGTCATCCGCAGGGACCTAGACAGGTTTGAGCAGTGGGTCCAGGTGAACAAATCCAAATACAAGATCTTGCACCTGCGTCAAAGCAACCCCTATTAGCAATACAAACTCGGAGATGAAAGGACTGAGCACAGCATTGCCGAAAAAGACCTGGGGGTACCAACGGATGGGAAACTGGACATGAGGCAGCTGTACCCTGGGCTGCATCAGAAGAAGCATGGCCAGCAGGTCAAGCGAGGTGATCCTGCCCCTCTTCTGTGCACTAGGAGGCCTCAACTGGAGTACTGCATCCAGGTGTGGAGTCCTCAGTACAGAAGAGGCATAGATTTGCGGGAGCACACCCAGAGGAGAGCCACAAAATGATCCATGCAATTGAACACCTCTCCCACAAGGACAGGCTGAGAGAGCTGAGGCTCTTCAGCCTGGAGAAAAGAAAGCTATGAGGTAACCTGAGGGTGGCCTTTCATTATTTAAAGGGGATCTTTAGGAAAGAACTGGACAGACTCTTTCGCTATTCCAAACAATAGACTAATCTAAGTTTGGACTCCTTTGTTTATATTTTCCAAGTCTTTGTGCGAATAAATTTTGTTTGAATATTCTGTTGCAAGATGTGAGCTCTCGTTACTTCAATTAATTAAAAAAATAATACCAGTAACTCAAAGTAGTTTCCTTTCCTAGGAAATTAAGTAAGAATTTGACGTAGTCTTCTCAACTGGGCTCAGGGACAGAAGTTTATTAGAGCTATTCAAATTAATTCTGGAAGAAATAGCTGGAATTTAAGACTAGGTAGGTGGAATGCAGGATAAGACAAATAGTGCCTATGGAAGGAAATCAGTGCCCTCATAACATGCCCTATATTTCCTTTGTGGGAAAAAATAACTTTCCTCTTTATGCAATAAGAATATTAGTACATTAAGAAAATACCAACAAAAACATCTTAATTGTACTATTACATATTTTCTTGCACCTCCTTTACTGGCAAGTTACCTCTTGCCAAAGATAGGCTATAGGACTTCAGAGCTGAACCTTATAGGTTTTTCTGACATGACGAAAGAACCCAGGTATTCCTGCACAAAGAGCACATGCAAGCTGAAAAACAACTCTGAATCTTTTGACTATTTTCAATTGGATTATTGTCTTGAGATGGGCATAAGCCTATTACTGCTAGCCTGAGTGAGAGCACTCTCAGACATTTTGTTTACCTGCTGCCTCACCCTAAGAGATCTCCCTTTTCAAAAGGGCTCAGGGAAGACCCAGTCTGTTCAATGGATTTCAGACCTTGCACACACAGAATATAACACAGAGCTGGGAATGCAAACAAAGGCCTCCCAGTTCAAGAGCTGAGCAACCCAGCACTTTGACTTCATCTTACTGAACTGGTAGTTCTCAAATTCAAAGCAACATTTTTGCCTTCAAAATGTTTCAAAAGACGGACAACACTTCTTTTCTTAGGGCTACTGAAGATCACCTCTATCTAACTCAAGACTAACTGTGTCTTGAAAGAATGTTATGTTTTAATGTAAAGTTAAAAACGTCTTTAGATCTCCAGAAACAGATCTAAGCCCATACACTCTCCTATCCACCTACTTAAAATAAAACACGCTTGCTTTTGACCAGGACCAACGCTTCAATAAATTACCTTGAAGCAATGTATGTTCAATCATAACAAAAATGCCAAATTAATTCTAAAATTTCAAGGCGCTTCAGTTCCTGGCTTAATGTTCTTAATATTTTAAAAAGCATCCCATACTCCAACACTTTCTCTAATATTCTCCAGTAACACCACATGACCTCTGCTTTGATTTCTACAGCTGCGATCCACAGTCAACAGCTAGTATTTCAATTATTCTGTTCACGTACAACAGCTTCATGTTTCTTCTGCACCTACAAAAACTACAAAATAGCCACAATAGCTCAAAAACTTTTGCACCTACACTGACTATTACACATACAATTTCTCTTATTACTGGGAAACAACACTGATAACTGCAACCAGAAGAAATGCTATGTGAGATTCAAATTAATTTATCAGTAGAGAAAACAAAAAAGATGTACAAAATGAGTACTGGAATATTTAAGAGGGCACTGTAATTACTATACATTTAATCACAAAATAACAATACAGCTAGATTTAAAAGTTTAGTCACAGCAGAACTTCAACACTTCCTGTCCTCTCCAATTTCAACTACTTATCACTATTAATGTAATTGTGCTTCCAATTTTCTGCAATCTTAGGGATATTTTCAGCGCTACCCATCATGATGTAGGAGACCTCAAGTCAAATTTTTACTTTTCCCAAGTGCACTAATAGATGTTGGTGAGCTGGGAATGCAAACATTTATTTTAAGATGTTGCTATTTGACTTGTTGCTATTCCTCTCCTGCCCCCTCTTTCCTCCAAAAAGCAGTATCATAACATTTAAATAGTGTTACAGTCTTCTTAATATAGTGTTGAAAGCTTAATTTGTAAAGTACCTTGAAATTTCAGGTGGTCCTACTAGCAAGGCCTATTGTGTTATACAACATATTGCAATATAAGGCTTGAACTACAAATGAGGCCGAGATGCTGATGCCCTGAATTGTACATTCTGGAGGAGGGACACTGGGAAGTCAGGAACTGGAATACAGCTTTTAAAAACAGACAACAAAAAAAATCAGGTAGTTTTTAATGCTTTCATCTTGTCATTTTCCAGCTTTGTTTCTTTCACCTAGACTTCTACTTTGTTTTTAAATCAGATTTATTTTCTTGTTCCTTCAATATTTTCTGTCATGTACATCTCAACTTGGCTATGAATTAATACATAAAGATGAAATAATCGCATCAGAGAGAAATAATTCATAAGAAGAATAGAGAAAATTATTAGCATTTGGGGGAGGAGGGGCTGGGGAGGATGGCAATAAGCATCACTAGAAAAGAAACAATTTTGGTTTTGTAGGAGGATCATTGATAGTATTTTCATGGAAATCATCACAAAAATAATGCTATAAAGTAGATTTAAAAATGCTTGAATCAGATTCTGTGTCAAGTTACTGGACTTCTAATCAAAACATGGAAATAACTATCACAAAGTAGAGAAAAGTAACATTTTGTTGTTATAATATCCTTCTCAAGTTTAAATATTCTTGCTTGTTCTTTTTATATTCAGAAATAGTACTTCAAGTCTAACACTTTCTTCTTGACATTATCACAAACTGAATCAAGATCCAAAAAGCAGACAAAAAGAATTGCAGCCCTACAGCAAAGAACCAACACCTTTTTCAAAGTAACATTGTAGCAGTGAAAGAATACTGCTGTTCACTGATCCCTCCCCCTTACTCCCTCCAGAAAATAAACAAAGGAAACAGAAAATTACTGACATTTTCAAAAACACCTTTCAAAAACTTAAATAACATAATTTGGTACTTAAGGAAAAAATGATACAAACATATCAGAAGGGCACTTCAACAATGCGGAGCAATGAAATGCGTTGTCATCTTACATGCAAAAGTAGAGAACAAATGTTTTAAAAAACTGCAAGTCAAAAAGAAAATTCACACAGGGATGCAAACATAAAACTGCTGAAGGTATCTCATTTTGATTTTAGCATTTCTGAAAATGTAAAAGGTTGATCTAAACTTTCAAAAACAGCCTAGGTTATTCAGAAAAGCTCTGAGATACTTAGAATGGGAGGTACAGGATACATTGCAGCACTTAACTGCTTGCCTTGGTCAAAGCAGGCACACTTCTATTCCATATTCAAAGAAAATTATCTCACTACTAAAATGTTAGAAGTTAAAAAACAAAAGAAACCAAGAGAAAGATAGGGAAAGACATTCCTTTAACATAAAGACTACTATGGAATATGCCAGCTTTTATTTTCTTGCACAGAATCAATTCTTCCTATCAGTGGAAGAACACAAGAAAATATGTAGGTCACTCCAGAAGTAGCGTTTCCTATTTATTTCCATGGAAACTACAACAGATATGAAGAACACAATAACACTACTTGATAGAGCAAATTCACAGGTACAAAACACCATTTTTCAACGTAGTTACCAGCACCAAGAGCCTGTATGCTGTGCTTGTAAAAATCTGCATGACCATCCAGAACACAGCTTATATTTCGTGTCGCTGTCACCACTGCTCAGATGCACCACCCACTGCCTCACTGTGCTCACATTCACTGTTTGGTCTCCATAAACATTCAGCAAATATTGATGAATGTCAATGGATGCAATATTTTCTGCATGGAAGAATTCAATTCCACCTCTTTGCTTCATTTGCACTTCCATGTCAGACACCATTTTGTCAGATTGCCCCTCTGCTGCCATCTGTCTCAGGACAACACCACATAATGGGATATTGGTGGGAAGGTTCAAATTCTACTGCCATACCACCAACATCCGCTTCTGACATTGTGGGCCAACGTAACAAAATAGGAGGCATTACTTTAGAAGCAGACCTAGTAGTTTCCAATACCATCAACTTAGAATCAATAACATAGCAAGTCTTAATTACCTGAGAGACTATTTTTGCTTTATCTTTTCATATTATCAAAAACTGCAGGTTCCTGAACTGTGAGTTTAGCAAATATGCTAGCACTCTGCAGGTTAAATGAGTTGCACTTAGAATAGCACAGTGAAAACTGAACTTGAAAGCTTGAAGTAAAAACAAAATATTAGACCACGATCCTCAATAGTTGTATCACATAATAATGTGATCACATATATTAAAGGAAATTTTGAATCTTTACTGCATTTTACTTTAAATCTAAGTTCTTCAGAGAGGAGAGGGTACATCTGTTGTCAGTCAGACTGATAAAATTGAGTGGTTGTTTAGTAAATGTCATCTCTAGAACAAAACAAATACATCAACTCAAGGAAAAGAAGAAAAAAGCCACATCAAAAATAGTCTGAAAGGCAGTATTACGATCACACTGTCTTGTCAAAAAAGTGGAGTGCTCAATGAATTAAAAATAGTTTAGATAATTAGAATATCTTCAAAATATTTTTATGTTATCTGTATTTTTGATATTTTAATTTTTTTTTAAATTAAGTCATGGGTTGGGGATGCCCTCTCATAACATTTCAAAATCCCTGAACAAAAGCTCTATTTCAGCTCATTAAAATAGTAATAGCAATTCAAACAGTAATTAACTCATGAAATAACTTGTAACACTTAATAGAATTTCAACTGAGGTTGTTTGAGAGGTGAAAGGAAAGATTGTTTCAATACCTTGTCTTCCCTCATCATTGGTAAACAAACCAGCATCACTGCTGCTCAGGCTGCTGGATTCACTGTAATGAGAGAAAGAAAGAAAAAGATCAAAAAAACAATTGATCTTTCAGTCGTAAAATGTTAAGGAGACAAGGCTGTGCTCAGATGGAAATTAAGCACAACAAAGATCTGAAAGAAAATAGGATTTTATTATTATTATTTTTAATCAAACTGCAAATATCCTAGTTCCATTAACTACAGAGTATTATTTTTGGCACATAAAACCACAGGAATCTAATGGTACCCTGACAGTAGGCCAGATGTGACTGCTACAAGGTGCTGACACAATTGATGCATTTTATTATGTGCTTCCATCAAATGCTCACTGCTCCTTTCTTATGCTACGCAATTCAGCTTGTTTCTGGAGAATCACTGCTCAGTAAAATAGGAAAAATCTCAATCAAAAGCATTCTACACTTTCCTTCAGCATGTGAAGTGCAGGAATCTGAAAAATACAAATTATCTTTCTAAATATCACTGGCAAATCATCTGAAAAAATGCATTGCTTAAGGATTCACAATTGTTACTGTCTCACTGAGAAAGAAAAAAAAATTAAAAAAAAAAAATCAACAGCACCAGTAGCAAAGTATATAAAAATAAAGGTTATCTTAAGAAAGTTAGTATGGCCAATGGTTGTAACATCACCAAATGAGCACAAGAAAAGAGCACAAAAGAAAACAAGGTACAGATGATGATTTCCACAATTTCCATCAGAACATTAAAATCAGAGTGCCTGTATACAACATGCATGCAAGTACTCTCTAAAAAAAAAAAAACCACCAAAAAAAAAAAACCAACAGAATCATCAATGAAGTTCATACTTCACTGTACACATATTGTAAAAAAAAAAAACAACTCCCTGCATCTCTAAAAACTTAGACTATTCTCTTTTCTTTTAATAACAGGTTACAATCTGTTGAGTTTCACTTGCAAGGGATTTCTGTAAATTAATTATTTACTTTCCACTGAATAGAGCAGAAAGCAGTCTCAGCGGAAGTTAATAATGTTTTACTTACAGTGAAACATAAAGCAATTTGAGGAAAAAAAATAATCAATTCACCATATATTCAAATTAAAGCTGCAAATACTACAGTTACTCTCAACATTACACACAAGCTATGTGTGTAAACAAAGCACAAGTTCTTTTTACATCTCTGCTCATCAGAAAACACTCTAACACAATGTGAAACAGTATGGTATTGGGAACCAATAAGCAGTGTGAAGTTTCTTGTTTTGTTCTCATGTACATAACTTTAAAGATGAAGTTCTCCTAATCATTGCTGCATGTTCTACACTTACTACATAAGCAAAACTTATACATACATCTCTTATATAATATAAACAAAACAGATTCAAGCACTTGATTTGCACAGTTGTCCTAAGCAGAAGAAAGGTGACATGTTACAAGTGTTGATATTGTAACTATCTCTAACGATCATAACCAACTTAATCACCACACAGATAGCTTGACTAGCCTTACATTTAGTTGTGTACAATTTTACATCATACATCTCTCTAAAGAAAAAACACTTCCTTTACACAGATCCTTCCAGTCCACTTTCTACAATTAAAATGAAAGGTAGGAAATCCTTTCAGCCTTAGTATTTCTTTCATTTTTCCCCACCAAATTTTCCTATTATTCCCTATTTTAGGAACAGTTTGTTTGTTCGTTTGTTTTAATATGACATTTTAATTGTGCAATTATTCTTACTGAAGGACTAGCCAGTTTACAACAACATAACAACTTGGAACTTTCAAAAATACTTTTTTCCCCTCCTTTGTTTAAAAATAAATAAAAACAAAAACATCAAATTAAAAACAATACAACACTAACATAGCCAACAGCAAACAGTGCTCATTATTCTCAGGCCACAGTTAGATAGGGCAGGAACTCCACCTGAGAAAATTGCAACATGACAGTCAATGAACAAAGAGTCACAGATTCCCTTCAGCAATGAAATATAGCAAGCAAAAACTTTGCAGGAACACTTTCGATAGTGAAAAAGCTTTCACAGCGTTAGCTCCACATTTGTGGAAATAAAGAAAAGGAAACAATTTTCTTAATAGCAAACTGTCCCCTTGCCTTGTGGTTATTAATTAATCCTGCCCCAAAAACTGAGCAGTCACTGAGCACCAACTGGCATGCTGCTGGGTAAGCATCTCCTCCATTAAAGGACTCAGTTGAACCGCTCTCATTTTCAAAAGCAACAGTTCAGACTTCCTCGAACTTCAAAGAAAAAGAAGTAGGAATCAACAGTAAGAAAATATTTTAAAAATAAAATTTAAAAAAATGTGACATATGCACATAGGATGAAACACAGAACAGTTCCCAGCTCCTAGGAAGATTTCTAATCATCTGTCTTTAGGTACTGATCCTGAGGGAGGCCAATTCCCTGTATCAAAGAGGAAAGTGTTCTAAAGGCTCCCTGATGAGGCATACCTCTGACTTCAATGCAGAAGTGAGATGTCTGAAGCTAAACTGCCAAGTAGTACTGCTTCTGTTCTAATAACTGAGACATAAGGAACACTTTTTAGAAGTCAAGATTCACATATTTTCTCAACTGCTTATGATCTGCTGGTGTGAGACAATGCCAGCATGTAATAAAGCAATTCAAATAACTTTCCAGACAATAATTGGAATTCATCACTTATCAATACTGCTATTATTACTGTAACCAATCTGCTCAACAGTTTGTAGATAAAATGCCTAGGGGAAAAAAAAATAAACAACAAAAACACAACCAAACAGAGACAGTAGTTCTGTCACACACCTGATCAAAGTTATGTGTTCTAATAGGAGTCTTTCTTGTTGACAGTTCTGTATTGAGAAGCAGACACACGGGATAAACATAATCAGGCTTACCAGGCCCTGCAGGTAAAGTCCCTTGAGTAAGGTGGAAAAATGACTTACACCTTACTGTGTTGTCAAAATAGTACTTTCAAAACAATTACCATTGCAGTATGCCTGCTGTCTGGAATGGATGGATGAGGTGTACTGCCAAAGGGTCATCATTCCCCCATTTTTCTAATGGCAAGCTCAGGTGTTTCTGAACTGTAAATTGGTTTATGCATTTCATAAATGATGTATATCCTTAGCAAGCTGCAGACTTTTTCTGCCCATGATACAGAAGAACATACTGTCTAAAAGATAAACCTAAATACTGACAGCCTTTCTGATGAAGAGATAACAACCAAAACAAATGTCTAGAGATTAGGAAAATCTTAATTTTTGCCTGTGAGTGTGTCTGAGAACTGTTTCCAGTTGAAATACTCAGAATACAAAAACTACACAACAAACAGGATTAATCATTTCTATATTCTGTCATTCTTACCCTTGAAACAATCATGACACACTATTATTTTGTTACTCCTCTGCTACCTGACTATTTTATACTGGATTCCATTAACCTGATCAATTCAGCTCAGTTTATATTAACTGCAAACTTATGTCAAAAAACAAGAAAATAGAAAAAACAAAAACACAAAAACCATCAACCAATCCTAAAAGTTATTTGTTAAACAGATGCTACTTGTACTAGCAATTTAACTCTGAAATGAAAGGAAAAAAGCACAAATATTTCCAATACTAGTAATAGAAACATAAGCAAACAAATATTATCTAAAGTTCTGTAAAAAGAAAAAAAAAATAACCTGTCACTCATGTTCTCATCTGAGCCCTTTTGCTCTTCATATTCCATTTTGTCCTTATTTGCTTGGTTCATTTCTTCATTTTCTATTACTACTCCTTCGTCCAAGATTTCTGGTCCTTGTCGAACTGCAGCTACTTTTCTCTTTTTCACTTTGTTCTTAGAAAACTCCTGATGTTGGTATGATTTATTGTCATTGTCCATTTCTTGATCTCTGTTATCCTGCTGTTGAGTTATTGTCAGTGCATTAGAAACTTCTGACGGCAGATCAATTGCCATCCTTTTCACTTTTCTTCTCCTGCGCAAAGTTCTGTTTCCTAAATTGTCCACAGCCAAATCTGGTTCATGCCATAGAGGTCTTTTGCCTCTGATGTTATTTAAGTTTGAAGAAGGCCTGCGTTTAGCAATCAACAACTGGTCATCAGAGTCACTGTGGTCTTTCTTGTTAGTATGATTCTCCCTGTAATCTTTGCTTGATTCTTCTAAACTGGAATCAGAACCTTCACTTAAACAGTGACCGGTCTCCCAGGGATGATGGGTGGTAAATGAACGCCTTTTTCGTCCCCTCCTTTTTCTTGCCTGCCGCTTCAGAAGACAAGAGACACTTCGAGAATGATCTCCAGTATCAGCAAAACCTCCTCTGGCTTGCTCTGAACTTTCTTCCAGTGCTGAGACTAAATCGTGAACCAGCTCCTCCATAGTCCTACTGAAATGCCTATGTTTTCCAAGAGGAAAAAAACAAAAACAACAACAAATAAATCTAAAAAAACTATTAACAATCTTACATAAGATCATTTAAGTCATTTAGACAATGTACTTTTATTGTTTATTCTACAAATGCTGCTCTATTTCTGCTGAGATCCAAATCCTTGCCAGTCAGTCCTACAGAACTTACAACACATCAGTATGCTCTCCTTTTGAAAGTCACCAGTATGATGACAATTGATTAATATGAAGGACTGTCTGCAAGTTTTATACAGGACAAAATACAGTTTAAAAGCAAGATTCTTGATTTTGTAATACAACTTAATGACAGAATTAATAAGTAGCTATCTATGCACATCAACAGAGTTGCAGATATTGAGAAATACTGTATGCATAGCATATAAGTTCCCTCATTCACTACAAACTCCAAAGTTAAAGCTGGTTAGACAGTAATAGCTGAATAGTTAGGAACACAAAAGCATACAAATGCTAAATATTAACAGAGGGACTGATGAGTACACTTAAAAACAAATCCAAGTTGGTCATGAAAGCTTTTACCTAAAGACATGATATATTTTTCCTTTTACAGTTTTCACATATACTTAAAAATTCACTAGCAAGCTCACCAAAAGCAGTGCTAAAAACACAAAATCATTTTGAACTCTTGAAACTATTCTGTCAATTGCATTTATTCTTTGTATCTTCTTCTAACCTGCTATAATCTCTAGCCCCATTATTCTCACTTAACCTAACAATTTCTTTGTCTCTTAGTATAAGAGAATCTTTGCACTATTCTGTAAGAAATGAAAAAGCTCTGGAAGACTGCTACAACTGTTTTTAATCCTTGTGTTCCCAAGAATCGAGCTCTCTACAACTCTCCTTAACCCATTTGGTTCCCAAGAATCAAAATCTCCGTAATCATACAAAAACCTCCCAAAAGCAAGAGAAACAACATAGCAGAAAAAGTGTTTCAAATGAAGCAATAATTATCTGAAAACTCAGGGAGAGAAGTGAAAGTCAATTAATCTAGAATTGACTTGCAGGCATGCAGCATTACAGTGATTTAAAACTAATTCTTGTTTTTGGTTCCTGAAGCTTCTCTTACTGCATGGGGTGGGTTTGCTTTTTTCTTTTCCAGGAGATATTACCACAATGCATTGTACTTAAGCTTCTCAACATCACTGCGCTTTCAATGTGACAGTGGCTCACATTAAAACTTTATTTCTGAAGAAAACAAGAAATCTCTCTAACGTTATTGGAGCTCCCCTTTCTCTTGCTATGATCTTGCTGGCATTGGCAATCAAACGGAAACAGATTTTTGTTCAACTGTTCTAAAATTAAAGAGCATATGGCTACAACTGTACTATTTACCAGGCAAACCCAGTTTTGCAGCTTTTTGCATTGATCACAACCAGCTGTCGAGGCTGCATTCCAACCCCACGTAGTATACTTTAATCATCACTGTAACAAAAATATTTGTGTTTGAAATAGGTTGAGAAACAACTGTGATAATGGGAGTCAGACAAAAAAAGTATTAAAGACATCACCCGTGAGTCTCAACCGTATCCTTTAAGACATTTCAAAGACTGCAATAAGGAACACAGAACAACATACTGTGATAGATAAAATATTAAGTTGAGCTGTAGTTTAGCATGACTCACAGCAGGCTATAAAAATGCTGTTACAGAAACAGCCCATAGCTAGCAATAAACTGTAATGTCCTCACTAGGAGAAGATTCTATTTTACTATAAGAAAATACACCTTGCCTACACTGACCTTTACAATTATCTGAAGCAATTTCCTCGTAGTTCACTCAAGACTGACCCGTTTCTTCTCTACCCTTATCAGAACAGACCATAAAAGTTCTGGTTGCAGGAAACAACGTAACAGCTTTTACCTACTCCACACCAGTTAACACAGATCACCTACAGCATTAATATTCAGTATAGAAACTACAAATGGAAGTAGTACTAATGATTCCATCAAGTACTAAGTAGTAGTATTAATCCCTATTAGTACTACTACGTAGGTGCTTGTTTTTGCAATGCAAATTAACTATACTTTCTATTCGCTTCCCACCTAAAACATATAATGCAGAGCTCTGACTGCTCATGAAACGTGTAACAAACATTTAACATGCTGACAGGAGAGCTAATACAGTTGCATGACTCTTAAGAAGAGGTAATATCTTCTACTGACAGCTGCATTTACATTTACCTTCTATAGATTTTCCTGTTAAATAGACAAAGTGCTCCTTGCAGCAGAAGTTATGCCATGTCTGTCTCATCAAGTGTGAAAAGTAACATTGATAACAAACCCAAAGAAAAGCAGTTTCCTCATATCCATGATTTTCGCTTCCTTCACAATCAACCTTGATCACAAGCTAAATGCACAAGAAAATCAACTGCTCCCTTGCACATTGGAATTATAAAACCAGACTTATATAATCTTGTCTCATATGGATTCCTGGATGTCTTGTAACATGGTTGTACTCACACTGCACCTTTATCTGCAAACAGGTACTAATTCAAGTCTTTCCACCTCAGAATTTATTTTCTAAAAACAATAGTTTTAAGACCTCCAGTACTTCAACAAGCTGGGCTTGTTTAGCCTGGAGAAAAAAGGCTGTGGGGTGACCTAACTGCAGCCTTTCAGTACCTAAAGGGAGCCTACAAACAGGACGAATCAACTCTTTGAAAGGGTAGATAACAGCAGGACAAGGGGAAATGGTTTTAAGTTGAGGGAGGGAAGATTTGGGTTGGATGTCAGGGGAAGTTCTTTACTATGAGAGTGGTGAGGTGCTGGAACAGGCTGCCCAGAGAGGTTGTGGATGCCCCGTCCCTGGAGGCGTTCGAGGCCATTTTGGATGGGGCCCTGGGCAGCCTGGTTTAGAATTAAATATGGAGACTGGTGGCCCTGCATGTGGCAGGGGGGTTGGAGACTCATGATCCTTGAGGTCCCTTCCAACCTGGGCCATTCTGTGATGCTGTGATATTTCAATGCTGCATAAAGCTGAAATTTGAAGTGAACAGATGTAAGCACTTGGGAGGATGCAGTAGATGAAAAAAATCTCACTGCCCTGCCAAGAGAATTTACTGATTCTGAAGAACTATCACTGTTCTAGGGATAAGCATGAAGCAGAAATCATATCAGAGCAACATAACTAAGTTTAAAATAGTAAACAGCTAATAAGATTCTGTAGCAGGCAAGGAAATAACTGACTTTTTTTATATATATATATATTATGGTATATGCACTTACTGTATATAGAAGAAACAGAAGTTGGACCTCCATTATTTAAAACCACCAGCCACCAAATGGTCATCCCAAAAAGGAGGACCCAGAGCATCCAGTTCAACGTCTGCATCTAGCTACATCTTTAGTTGTTCTCCACAGCACATACAGGTTTGCAAAAGTTACACAATGACCTAAATGCACTCCACTCTTGTACCAACAACCATCACAGTCACAGCAGCTAGCAGTCAAGCAACAGAGAATCCCTGTACTCCTCCACTTCTAAGAATCTGGCCCAGTGCTTCCTGTGAAGAGCCAAGAAATTCAGAGTAAAATTGACTTGCAGAGCAAAGAAACTCAAATGTAACTTTCATTTTAATGAATTTCTTTAAATCTGAAAGTGTCAAAACAAACTTACTAAAATTATGCCTCAGAAAACAATTATTTTGAGTTTCACATAAGACAATGTGAACAGGTACAAAATCAAGGATGCTAGAGACAAGTCAGGATACTGTGTTGATGCACACGTATGTTTGAAAAAGGAAAAACAAGCCCCAAATCCCAGGCTATAGTTCATCTTTAAGGTACAGAAACTCTCTTTCTGTAGGAAGATGTGTGTGCATTATAAATCAATTTCACAAACAATCAGAAATGGAGAAGGGCCTCACAAAAATGAAATTTTACTTAAGTCATAGTTCTACAATTACAGATGTACGCTTACTACACTGCTGAAATTTTCAGTGAACTAGTTTTGATATCAAATACATAGCTTCTAGATGATTATCTGTACAAACAACATTTTATTCCCCAACTTATACATTAAAAGTCAATTCTCAGTCCTGACTCTGCATTTGAGAAAATACTTTAGATATGGTTTAGGAATTCTCCTACATTTGACCTATACAAGAGAAAGTTAGTAGCATATGAGTAATGATGGGATTTCATCAGCTGATTTTGCCACTGGTCCCCCTAAAAATCAAGGCCAGACAAACCTGTAACTCCGTATTTTCTATAATTGCTACTTACCTCAGAAGGAGCAACAACAAATACTGTCAAGCCTTTTTAATAACAGTCTCCACTCATATCTAACAGTGAAGAAGTATTCAGTACTGAGCAATGGTATACAGTCAGAAAGATGCTGACATTTAATAACGCTCTAACACAAATGAATTGGTCAGCCAGAAATGAGATTTGGGGCAATTTATCATGAGAGGTAGCAATTCTTGCAGTACTATTCCTGCCATTTGCTGATATGCTTGCCCTTTTCAGATGTATGACTTCATTAATTAATTGTCAAGGTGGAGAATCACATGAACTGTCAAATAGTGATAATACACTGTACCATCAGAGTCATTGCTAGAAGAATCAGAGTGCCCAGTAAGTATCCAAATTGCAAACTATTCCTAAGTTGTCATAGGTGCTTGTAGGAAAAAATGAAAAACCTTTGGCTTCAAAGTAGATATGAGCAATTCTACTCCACAGCAGTTCAGAAATTGTCAGCTTATTTAGTGCCTTAACATTTTTACTAAGGTCAAGTTCTTTATTTTCTACATTAAGTATTATGCATTGAAAAATACCTCGCTGCATTTCAATCAAACAGGCTTCTTTTAAATGACAGCTTCCAGAACAAGGATAAGAAAAGTGCAACTCTGAGGGACTGTTAGAATTTTTAAATGGATCTCCCTTCAGAACTACCAAACTAACAGTCCTATAAATTACAAGACATCAATAACTCTCTCAGTACTGAATTTCTCTGGGCAGCGTGTTTGGACAAGCAAAGTCATTGCTGTCTGAGGACAATTACAGAAGTATATGTCAAAATCCCATAGCCTGTTTTGCTGAACATTGATTTTAAGCCTCAGGAACTAAATTACTTTACATGGACAGAAAATAATAAAACTTAAAGACAAATGACAGATTGACCTTATAATGAAAACTTTTCCATAGTAAAGATACAGGTTAGGAAGGTCTTAAGCCATGTTTCTGCTATATGCAGCTTTAGTAATAGAATAAATATAGTTCTGCACACCTTGTTTTCTGAAGTGTTACACACTACATCAACAGAAGTTAGAGTAGGCAAATACATATACTAACATCACTAGTCATAAGTTTTCTAGAACTATATGCTATCTAGGCAAGTACAATCCTAATTAGAAAGCTTTCTCTTCTATTAAAAATTGAGAGGCATGAAAATACCCACAGGAAAAAAAAGTGATGCTGTCACATGAAGTGGAGAAGTTTGCTACATTAAAAAAAATTAAGTACTAAACCAATCTTTCCCTTCTTCCCCATGCCCATATGAGAAACAAAGACAATGGTAAGAGCAAATTTGTTGAAGATCTGGGAACTCTAATTGCAGATGTTTGTATACAGAAATTCTCTCTAGAAAAAGTAGCCAAGCCTTAAGCGAGGCCTGGAGTCATCATCAACATTCAAGAAAAACAAACAAAACCAACAAACCAAATAACAAAACCAAGACTCATCACACACCTCTCCACTTCCATTAGTGAAAATGAAATCAACTGTAAGTTCCCTCTAAGTTGTACATAAAATACTAAGAATACTGTGCAGGAGATTAAAACCAGCTAGTTGTGAAGAAAATGAAACTTGGTTTCCAGAACTGGCATCCTTCATGAAGACTCCCCTCAAACAGCCTTTTAGTCTCCATCACCTGTTAACAAAACTCACTCTTCCATCTTCTGCTACTGAGTTACCACTGTCCTACCAAAGATGTAATAAAATCTTTGGAGTCACTGCGCTAATAAAGACTCAGAGAATCATTAAGGTGGAAAGATCACTAAGATCACCTACTCCAAACCACACCCACTAACCATGTCCCTCAGTGCTAAATCCACATGTTTCTTCAACACCTCCCGGGACGGTAACTCCACTACTTCCTGGGCAGCCTGTGTCATCGCTCCTTTTTGAGAAGAAATATTTCCTAATATTCATCCTGATCCTCCTCTGGTGCAACTTGAGGCCATCCCGTAGCTGCTACCCAGCAGGAGAGGCCAACCCCCACCTCACCACAACCTCCTTTCAGGCAGTTGTAGAGAGCAATAAGGTCTCCCTGAGCCTCCTCTTCTCCAGACTGAACAATCCCAGTTCCTTCAGTCGCTCCCCAGAAGATTTGTGCTCCAGACCCTTCACAGCTTTGTCACCTTTTGTTGCCCTGTGCCGCCCTACTACCTGAAAACAAACCACCCATGTACCACGCTGTAGCTGCACCTGCTGTGGTTGGCCATTGGCCAACGCCACACTTGTTGATTCTCGGTTTGAATCAAGACGGCCCCAGAACAGCAGCCGCACCTCGCTGGACGTCTCGGCAGCCTACACCGAGAGGTGAGGCGTTCTGCAGGTGTACCACGGTGAAAAACAAAACCCCGCTAAGGCTGGACACAGGCCGAGCCCGGGGTCCCCCAGTCCCGGCGCCGAGCCCCATACCCGGCATGGCGACGGCGCTCCCTCGGCGCTTCCCCTCCCACCCAAGCGGCGGCCCCGCCGCCCGCGGCCCGGCCTCACCAGCTCTTCCTCGCCGCCGGAGCTCGGGTCGGGTTGGGCTCGGCGACCCGGAACATGAACCCGGCGCCTGCCCCGGCCGCTCCCCGGGGAGGCTGGCGCCGCTTCGCAGAGACTGAGCCGAGGGGAGCCGCCACGGGGGTCGGGGGCTGGCGGCGAGGGCCGGACGGGGAGGACGCGGGCGACCGGCGCTGCTCCTCAGTCCCCCATGATGAGAGCCCGGAAGCGGCCGCGGCTCCGGCAGGAAGGCGGACGCGACCATCTCGCCTCTCCCCCTCTCCGTCCGCACCGCCGACGCGCGCCTCCTGCGCCCCGCGCCGTGCTTACGGTCCCTCACGGCTCCCGCGCCGCAGCGCTGCCGCCGCCCTGCGCCCTCCGCTCCTTGCCGGTAGCGCCGCGGGATGCGCCGTTCCTCCCCGCGAGCACGCGGAGTGGTGCGGCCCCGTTGCCATGGCGGCCGTGGCGTCGGAAGGGCGGGGGGAGCATGGCCGCGCTGGTTCGGCTGGAGGCCAGGCTTTCGCGGCTGCGGGAGGAGTATTTCCTCAAGAACAGGTAACCCCGGCGGGATGGGACGCGCGTCCTGGCGCTGGGTTGGGGCCGCCCGTACCGCTGCCAGCCCCGGCTGCGAGATGGCGGCTGTTCCCGCCCGAAGCGGCGGGCGTTAACCGTCCCCCTCCGTGCTGCCGGCCGGTCTGAGGGAAGAGAGCAGCAGGTTCCCTTAAGGGTCCGGTTATTTATTTACCTATCTATTTATTTACTCACTTTAAGCGACTGAAAGTCGTTGAGAGAGCTGATGCTTAAGATCCACGGTGTTTGAAACTTCGCCTTGTTGCTGTGTCAGGTCGTGGAGTTTGACTTTGGTCCTTGTTCTTTTGGTTCTGGACGTCGGTCCTCTGCAGCACCCAGGATGTTTCTCCATCAAAGGAGGGAGGCACCTGCTCTGCTGAGATGCCCTGGGACAGAGCACCGTCTGCCCAGGCCACCTGTTGCCATTTTCTTGGCGCAGTGATTCTAAGGGGTTTTATGACAGCAAAGGCAGCAGCAGACAACTGTAACATACCACATTTTAGGAAATAAGATGTTTTAGGAAATAAAGTGTTTTAATACCTATTTTGTTTAAAACCAATTTTATTACTTTGTGAATTTGTACTGTAAAGCCAAATGCACTGTACTTATTAGTGCACGGGTAACAATAAAGCTCACATATTTAGGATAGTTGTTTTTCTTCACTATTTAATGCAGCTTTTCTTTCAGAAACCAATTACACCACCATTAGCATCAATAACACAGCTGTAACATTACTAAAAGTTAAGAGTTGAAGTTAATATATGAAGTGTTCTGTTACTTGTTCTTTTGCTGAACTTCAGTTCAAACTGTTGCAGCTGTACACACAGCAGTTGGCTATATAACCTTCTTTTATCATGGAATCATAGAATGGTTTGGGTTGGAAGGGATCTTATAGACCAAGCTCCAGTCTCCCTACCGTGGGCAGAGTTGCCAACCACTAAATCAGGCTGCCCAGGACCTCATCCCAGAAACTGGCCTTGAGCATCTCCAAACTTCACTTGAATTTCAGGCATTGCAGGTTAGAAGGAGTAGGCTGAGCCAGACATGGAAATCAATTAGCGAGCAGCATGCTTGATATCTGGTGGTTTTTGTTTATTTGTTTGGTTGGTTGTTTTTGGTGTTTGTTTTTGGCACATCTTTTTGAACTTTTGAGAATGGGCTATAATCCATCAGTTTCCTAAAACTCAGACATTTTCATCTGAGAATTTAAATGAGAGGCTTCAAACACTCCCGTTGAGCTAAAGGGCTGACCAGTGATCTGATCTCTGTTCTTTAGTGTGCAAATCCTTAACTTCTTCAACAAGGCTGTCAGTAAAACCTTGAAACAAATCAGAATAACTTGTTTAGAGATTTTGATGGAATCAGAGAATCATTAAGTTTGGTAAAGGTCGCTAAGATCACCTAGTCAAACTGCCAACCCATCACCACCGCCCACTAAATCATGTCCCTAAAATGCTGCATCTGATTTCATGTCTGTTTAAAGTTTTAATAGTCCAGTTCCATATTCATTGCTTTTGTGAAGTGGCAGAAATTGTAAAACTCCTTGTAATGTTTAGGCAATGATGAGACAAAATACTCTCAGAGGTGCATTCTTCTATAGACAGCACAGCCCCATTAAATCACTGAACTTACTCTGCATTTTCTGAATAAAAATGATGATGAAATTATTTATGACATATTTTTAAATGCTCCTCTCAGCATTTTGCTTCATTATACATAAGCTCAGTTAAGAATGGTTGTTCAGCTGAGCCCAATGGATGAAGGATATAAAGATGTGGAATGCTACATAAATTCAAAGATCTTTTGCTTAACTTTTAAATTTAACAAGTAAACTTTGGGCATTGAAGCGTGTCAATTTTGCAGTAGTCTGAAGTATTTTGTTCAAAGTGAGACAACAGCTTTAGTTTCTGCTGCAGAACTATTCTACTTACAGTAATGGATGTGTTAAAATTGCCAAATCTGGGATGCTCTGAGTACCTGTGTGGGTAATGTGTGTTCATTCATTATCCACATAGTTGAATGGTATTCATACAGAAATCAGTGATATTTTTAAAAAGCACTTTTTGAAGTCAGCATTCTGCCATGAAATATCAGGTTACCCAAACACTTAACTTTCTCTGAAGCATCAGAAAGTGCAGAAGAGTATAGATTGCAAAGTACTTGGTTTGTGGGTTTTTGTTTGTTTGTTTGTATTAACTGTGCTGTTCCCAAGTACCTCCAGGAGTAAAGCTTGAAGGGTTTAGGTCTATGTGTACCAAACAGATTTTAAAACAAACAACAACAACAACAAAAAACCAACAAAAACCAAAAAACATGTCTTTCTTTACTTATCTGTCAAAACCTAAAAGCAGAACTTTGTAGAAGATGTAGAAACTCCAGAGCAACTTGACTTAATGGGACCCTGGTGAAAACTAAGTATTCTTGCTAGAAATTGCTGCTGCAGGCAGAATGCAGTAATTGAAGTCCCTGAAAGTAAATCCCAAATTAGAAAACCTTTATCTTTCAGAATGCATTTCCTGTTTGAGGACTCTACATCTGTTCTATTAAAGATCAGGGCAGGCCGATGGCTGTAATGTCCCACCTGTTGATTGTGGTTAGACCAGCGATCGATTTAACCTGGCTGTTCTTCTGATCTTAGTAATGTTCCTGACATTCTTTAAGCACAATTCCATTTTGTGTCAGAGTATGGGGTTTTCTAAACTGTCTGTCTTCTTAGGGAAAACACCTTCCTAGGGAAGATCTTGTCCAATTATAACACAATCCCTGCACTTTCTCACAATAAGCATTAGATTATACAGGATCTGCTAGCACACTTATTTTGTCAAGAACTTAATTCTACGTACTGTAATATTTATATGTCAGATTTTGCCCTTTAATATACCTTAAAAAAAAAAAAAAAGTATTTGAAAAGTATTTTTGACTCTTAAGCCTAATTGAAACACTCTGGCAACTGTGCAATCTGATCAGGAGGGTAGATATAATATTGAACAACTTATGCTCCAAACCACTTATTTGCTGACAAGGCCAGTTGAAAGTGGAAACTTGTGGAACTAAACTGCAAGAAAAACTCTGTTCTTGATCTGCTTAAAGAAAAAAGATTCAGCCTCTCAGCACTGGAACTCATAGTAATGATTTCTTCTTAAACTCTCTGAAAACTCTCATCTTTAGTCTCTTTTAGATTCCTAGTTTCCTTATGTGCCTTTATGCTTTGTCACAATCACTATTTTCCTAGTAGACTAAGTCACAGGAAGAAGACAAGCAGGGACTATCTCTTGGAATTACTAAGTAACTTTCTGATGAGGCCCTTTTGCTTGTGTTTCTTGCCCCATTTCTGCACATGATTTTCACTTGTACTACCTAATTTAACATAAGTCTTCGACAGGTAGTAGTTCTTAAAGATCACTTCGAGGTCATCAGTTCTCCATCTATCTTGCATCTTCATCTGCCTGACCAGTATCTCTGTAGATAACCCTTCTTCTCATGTAAATTAAGAACAAATTCTTCATCTTTCTCTGTATCCTCACTTCATCATTAGTTCATCTAGGATCTGTACTAATCAATCATGCAGTCTCAGCATGTTTTCTACTTTGTTTCTTTTTGCTCCCTCCTTTCTGGCCTGCAGCACACACCAATTTCATTTTTACATTCTCTCCAAAATCCACATATTTGAATTCCCATTGTGCAAAGTCCTGTCAAGACTCAATAATCTGTTGCATTGAGTACTATAACTCTGTGTAAGAAGATCCCCATGATCATCTCTTTGGAATGTGTCCAAATTACGTGTACAATTTGTTTCTAGCTCCTGGCTTCCTCTTCCTATTAAGCTACGTTCAGATTTCGTATCCTGATAGTACAAGCCTTCCAAAATTTGGAAATTTCTGTATCTAATTTCTTTTCTATGAATATTTTTCTCTTATATTTATCTCTCACCTTTTCTTAGTCATTTCTTCCTCTTTTCCTTATTTCTCTTTTTTGAATTCCTTCCTAAGATAGCAGCTAAAAGGTCTAAATCTTCTACTTTCGTACTGTAATATAAGCTCCTATTCATTAAAAAAGTCTGTGGCAAGATATCTGTCACCACGGATTCTATCATTGTTCAGGTAATATACAAATAAAACTTCTGGTATTGTTCATAAAAAAATGTATTAAAATTAGATCTCCTTAATAAAATTTTTATCCTTAATAAACACTCAATATTTACAATGATGGCATTGACTGTAGTTAATTTATTTAATATCTCTGTAGCTACCCAATTTCATACACAGCTGTGGGGGCTTTGTAATAATTCAGGCCAAATTATTAATAGAGAATTATCTGTATTTTTCAGCTACAACAGAAGAGGCCCATAGTATAACATGGGTATTCAGTACTGTATGACAATAAGGCTTGCACTCTTGCAAACCTTATGTCATCTAGATGTTCTAATACTTTAAGGTTGCAGTAGCATATGTTTGGTTTTCATTTCCTTTTAAAATCATTTCAATTCTGTACTAAGTCGTAGCATAATTTGGGCTCATTCGTGCATTGATCTAACACAATTTCTTGTGTTTTTCTATTATTTTCTAATCCTAATAAAGTTTATTTTTTTTATATGTCGATTTTATTTAGTCTTCTTTCTGTATTGATTTTAAAATCTTTAAAATTGGTTACAGCCTATCAAGTCACTAATTCTCTTCCAGAGACTTAACTGTTATCTTTATGTTAAATGACCAAACTAACTTATTTTTTTCTGCAGTAATATTGAAGTATGTGGAAGTATAATTGTAATTGTGAGTGCAAAAATCCAGTGAAAAAGATCACAAGCTACAATAAGGAATAATTACAAAGAATTTTCTGTTTTGGTAGTAAATTGTTATGTTAACAGGTATTATTACTTTTTATATTTTCTATGATTACTATAACTAACTACTCCTTCTTATATTATCAGATCTGTGGATGAAGACAGAAAAATAGTGTACAAAGCTGCTGTCAAAATTCAGAGCTGGTTCCGAGGATGCAGAGTCCGAGCCTATCTGAGGTAGTGTGTTAGACATATTTTAATCTGTATTTCATTTCTGAATTTCTTTCTAAAATTTCTCATGGTATTTCTTGATTTTAATAAAATGAGAATGTTTTTAAAAATAAAAAATATATCAAATGAATAAAACATATGCTCAACTCTAAAAAAATATTAATTTTTGATTTTCAGAACAACATGCGATTAAAATGTCAAGATTCTAACATGAAGCTAATAAGTAGCACAGAAACAGTCCATCTTCAGAAATAGAATCATAGAATGCTCCAAGTTGGAAGGGATCCACAAGGATCATCAAGTCCAACTCCTGGCTCCATGTAGCACCACCTGAAATTCTAACCCTATGTCTGAGGGCATTGTCCAAATGATCCTTGATCTCTGGAAGCTCAGGGCCATGATCACTGGGCAGCCTGTTCCATGCCCATCACCTTCTGGTGAAGAAACCATTTCCTAATCCCCACCCTGGCCCTGCCTATTCTGTCACTTGCCCCTCCACTCTAAGAAGGAGGACTCACTTCTCAACCTCACATATTAAAAGGGTTGTGATAATTGTTTTGAATACACATACTACAGAGTCCCATTTGTAATGACTACACATCAGGACACATTTGCCAGTCTTTCCCATTATCTGTGAATAATTTCAATTTATTTTGATACCAGTTCATAAGTTAAACTTTTAGAATAGAATTAGCACTCCCACCAACACTATACTAATAGGTCCTAATAGATAGAAAGTATTAATTATGAGATCTCAGTGTGACTGGGGAGATGAGGATGTTCCTCAGATATGCTTTTTGCAGTGACTTTTCATATCTCAGTTACTGTGGACCTTAAAAAGATTGCCTAGAGAGCATTTGGTAACTGAAATCATATTGTAGAAAATTAAATTCCACTGCTCAATTTAGCCAAGTCATTTTTTGAATTGTTTCATTACATATTTTTCTCCATTTGTAAAACAGAGATCATAAACAATTGCTTTGGTCTGTAAAATGCCATGTATGACATTTAGATAAGTTTTTTAGAAGTGTTGTTGATTCCTTCTTCCAGGAGACTCTTCCATTTTTCATGGACATAAGCCCAATTGGTCCAACTCATTTACTTGAATTTCACTATCCTTATAAAGCTTAAGACTGTGGGGGGTAGGGATTGTTAGATATTTCAGTTTGACCCCTTACTTATCACAAATTATCAGGTATCACCCAGATATACTATGTCAATCCTAAATTACAGTTAGGCTGAATAGCATTAATCACTTAAAGGCCAATATTTTTCCCAAGAACAACCATTATTTGCACTTATTTTAAAAAAGAAACAACAAACCACTGGTAATCTGTTGTCCATTGTCATGTGTGTTGTCACAGGATGCAGCCATCATATGCATGTATTTAGCAGGGAAACAAGCATGGTATTTTGGTCCTTCACAGCATATCAGCTGTACCATCCATGTCAAAAGCCCCTCCAAAGACAGACAAGAGAAATTGATGCCCCTCTCTTTCTAACATGAGTGACAACAGCACGCTGCAGAAGAAAGTGAAAACTCAAGTGTCTCTACCAATGTATTCTATAGGAAAATGCTCTTCTGTACTACCTAATGGCACATATGACTTTTGTAACGTAAGAAAAAACACTGTAATTGTTATGAGCATGTAAGCAGAAGTAAATCAAAGTGGAGAAGAGGATTTACTCTGCCTCTATGTACAGAGTGATCCTGCTCAGTGAATGCCTCTTTCCAAAGATGGATGGACTTAGGAGCACAATTTCAATATATTCAGTTGTGAGTGTTCTGATTAATCCTCCTGAATTACCCTGGTGCTTTGAATCATGTACTGGGAAGGCTTACCTCCAATGAGTGACTGTAGCTGTACTGGGTGGCTTCTATGTTAGATGTTCATAGATAAGTAGTACAAAAGGTCCCCAGTGCAGATTCTGAAATGGTTAGATATGTTGGTTAAAACAGTTCATGGAACCAACTGTCTTGCAAATTACATTCTTACAGCTTGTTCATAAATCTTTTTGGAAGTATTATATGTGTTTATATATATGGAAGATTGCAGCAACCGATTTTTTCCAAAAGTAAAGTGGATGTGTATGAATGTATGTATATAAGTTGAAAAGTGTGTAAAGCATGTGTGTGCGTATATATATGTTTGCCTGCATTCATGCACAAATATGTATGAAGTAGGTTTGCAGTGGCCTTCAGTTTGAAGTATGTATGGATAAAGCACTATGCATTACTTTTAATATTAGGAATTAATGCATTTGCAGTTGTAATCTTTCAAAATAATATATTGTTAAATATGTTTAATTTTAGATATCTGACCAAAATGGTGATTTCTATACAGAAATGGTGGAGAGGTTATCAAAGCAGAAGATACTTCAGAAAAATGACTAAGGTAGAAAACCAGGTTTATAAATCTTGTTTGCATATTTATGGAATAAGTACAGAGTAATTCATTTACTTGCCTTGAAATTTAGGAGCTGAAACTTTGATTCTTGATCCATGCAGTCATGTACTTAACTGTTACTGTAATGAAAAACACCATAAATTTTTGTAAGCCTGTTCATGATAGTCAAGTTAAGTTAGTTCTGAAGTGTTTGCAGTTCTGGAGTAACAGTTCCCAATCTAGCAATGAGATCTGCTCCTGTAGAAGCCTTACTGCATGATGCTAATGGCAGGACTGCAGTGTTTCAAGATGATTTTTTGTTCATTTGTTCTTGCTGGTAGAAACTCTAATTCTGAAAATAATATAAACTCATATCTCTACATACCACTGTTCTGTATTTTAGTGGCTTAAATTTCTTACTTAATGAACCTTGAAGTATTTGAGGTTTTGCCTTAAGGCACACAGCAGATCACAGTCAATCTAATTCCCTTGAAAGAGTGGAAGATGGCAAAAGCATATGACAGCATACGAGCTGAAACCTTTTTAGCAGGTTTAAGAGATTAAGAAGGAGCTAATTTATCTTTAACTTAAAATAATAAAGTTTTTAATGTGTAGTTAACTTCTGTAATTTGTCAATTTGTGTGAATATTTTACAGTAATTTTGGCTTGTTAGTCATTTATTCTTGATGAATTTTTTTAATAGTTGTATTTAGTCAAAACTGACAAGTAAAGCAGAAGGAAAAAGCTGAGGCATTATAACTCATATCTTACAGGCTAATGTCCATACCTCCTACTAAACTATGTTTTTATGCTTGCAGACTTGTATGCCTAGAACTTATCTATTCCTCCCCTGCAATTATCAGTCATTTTATTAAAATTTTACCTCTTCCAGTTTACCTGGCTTAACTTAATTATGTCATCCTTCCAGGCTGTGATTCTCAGTCCATCTTCCAAAACACTTCTATTTTTTTTTTTTTAATTATTATTATTTTTTTTAAATATAGGCTAGATAGCTGTGTAGTTGGACTGGATTCTGCTTTAAAATAAAAATAACAATAATAAAAATAAATAAAAAAGATCACTGAATATTGTCCTTAAATTTAGGGAGGTTTGGTTTCTGTGCTGTAATCTATGACAAAACCTTAAGCACACCCACTTAAAATATATTCAAAATTATACAACAAATCCGTCCAGTTTCTGGCATTCATCCAATATTAGCCAGAATTTTTGAGAAACAGGATCATGTCAGTGAGCAATACAGAGCAGTCAGCATAGAAAACCATATTTTCCCTCAAATGCCTCAATTTGTGCTTCCTGACTCTTTGGAGAGGACTGAGTAGCCCAGCCTGATTGGAAGCCAACCTGAAAACTATACAAGTAGCAGATAATTTTGTCCCTTTAGACTGCTATATTCTATGTTGTCTGTTCTCAATTTGTATTTAGACACAAAGTTCAAGTTCATTCCCTATATTCACCCCTATTTTTCTACACTCAGTGACTGGGTGAATTTGGAAAATTTTAAAATGAAACAAAAATCTTATCAGCAGTTAAATGCAATTTTTCAGTTAAAAGATCACTTAGTGTTCACTCTGAACTCTTGCTAACAGTAGTTGTAATGACTCACGATAATGAAATGCGGTAATATGTTTGACATGATTGTTTCTTAAACACAAAAAAATTTGGTCACTTCAAAATTTTTCTGCTGATAATGACTATATTGGTATCTGCTGCCAGCAAACAAGGCAAACCATATGCACAAAATACCCATGATTCATAGATAGTAAATCATTTTAATGATTATATTCAAAATTGTGAAATGTGAGTGGTACTGATGCGGAAAATAACAAAGGCTGAGGCTCATCAGATTGGCTGTCCATATGTGCATCACTGCTAGTATTTCATTTGTTACTCCTCTATTGCCTCTTCTGTTGATTTTTAACGTTCATTAACTTAATAAAAAAAATCTATTTATAGTGTTTATGTGACCAAAGCTATGGAGCTCTCTATATTCTAATTATAGCAGCTTTGGTAAAAATGTTTCTTTCTTAAAAAATTAAGATTAAGAACTGATCTACTGTAAGTTTCTTAATGCCTTTGTTACATTGGTAGTACTAGGTTTTGAAAGTCTTTAAGTACCTGCAGGAAAGGATGAGTTTTCAAACCAGGCAAACACCAAAACAAGAATCAGTCTATATCTCTGTGCTCCATTTTATAGTACTTCCCAAAGACAAGAAATCGCCTATTGAGGCAAATGAAATTCTAACATTTCATTATTAAATAAAGTTGGTATGCATGATGGGCTTGTTTTCAGCTCTCTTTGGAAGAATACGTATATGTAAAAAGTATTTTATGGTGCATAATTTGAAACCATCTTAAATAATTTAGCTTCAACTCAGTAGCCAGTTTTAAATTCCCAGATCAACAGGAATTAGTCAAACGCTTATTTCTTCTATTAAAAAAAGTATATTGACTCAGACCAAATGATTTTTCCTTCTCTATGTCTGTGCAACCACAATTCTGGTTCTTCGAAATTGTCACCTCGTATTATCTGTATAAATGCAAAGAAAATACTAATCACGATCAGATTTGTAAGTGATCCCCCAACATGTTTTTAAACAGTAAAAAAGGAGAAAGATTAAGTGTTGCACAGCAGTTTATACACAAAAGGATTCAATTTTGGAATCATAGCCTTTAAAGTAAACTAGTAGGGAGATCTGTTCATAAACCTCAAAGATAGATACAAAGACTATGTAGTTGAAGTGGTGGTGGTGGTTCATGTGGATGGGATAGTGAGATAGTTTTTCTCAGAGAGTCAGCATGAAAATGCAGCCTTGGAATCGGTGTCCAGTGATATGATGAGAGGCAATGATCACAAACAGAAATGCAGGAAATTGCACTTAAGCATGAGAAAAGTGGACATAAGCAGGTGTCTTCTGGAGAAGAGAGGACCTTGGATTCAAAGATAACATTTTGTTTACTAGAAAGTATGTAAATACAGACTTGAATTGAAGCACGAAATAATGCTTATGCTTTTGTGAAAAGGGATGAACATATTATCTGTCACTTGTAAAAGCAGAGTTTACTGTGTTGTATTCTAATCAAGATTAGATCAGAATTTGCAAGAGAAGCAAACTGTGAAACAAAGTGATATGAGCAATTCTCCATTTGACTGACTTGTGATTTAGAGCAGCACTGAGTAAAAGCAGGGATGTGTAATTCCCTTTCTGTTATGAGTGATTTTGTTGAGTAGTGGTAAAGGTACAGATTTGTCATGCCTGTGTGAGGTGTGTATTCACAGTCTAGTTGCCTGTAAATGTCATAAGGAGGTGCTTTTGCAGAGCTCTTCAGTACTTCACTAAGTTCAGGGAGAAAGGGAAAGTGATGATCCCACTTTCTTTCAGTACCAATGACATAAAGAGCGCAATGATGGTAACTTAGGTTCTGCAGTGAATTGGAGTGCATTCAGATCAAAGCACTCAAGGCCTTCAAGTGTGAGGAAAACAAAAAAGTGTGAGATTGGTTAATTTAATCACTGATGGAGAGAAACCCCTTGTCATATTTAAGCTATTTGGTGGTACTGCAACTCTTATATTCTCTCCCAAAGAAAGAAAAGATGAGCTGAAAAGCAAATTTGTACGAATTTAATTGAAGAGTTTAAGAACATACTTACATATCTACAGTTAGCAGCTTTTATAAAGTAGTTGCATAGAGAAAAGTGAAGACAGGGCCTGCTATTTATTCATACATTTGGAATCCCTCAAATATATAAAATGTATATAATTATACTTGCATATATGCTTATACATATATAAGGGAAACTTTTTTTTTTTTAGATTTAGCAGTTTTGCATTTTTCTTTCATTTAAGAAATATATTTACTCCTGTATCTATTACTAGTAGATTGGTATGATATTAAAGCGAGCATTTAAAATGCACCTTAATTAAACTGCAGGAATTATGCCTTGCTTAATGTAATGAAGAAAAAGAATTTAAAATGAAGTAGCATCATTGTGTTCATTTGTAAATAACATATTGCAGCCAACTGTTTCTTAATTGCCCAGACTGTTGATAAATAATCCAGTCCTGCTGCTCTCCACAGACAATTTGCTTTGGATCAGACTAGGCAATTCAAATAACACTAATTACAGTGAAACCCTTTTATAGTGAATTCCTGTTTGCCATGGGGGAGAAAATCACTATACCAGGGGAAAGCACTTTTGTCTTTGATTTGTGTCTAAAACATGAGAAAAACATAAAAGCTGCATGTTGTGCTAAATAAAGGACATACTCTTGCATTCAAAGTACTTATATTTTACTTTTTATGATACAATTGTGAATTATGTTCATTTTGCATTTGTAATTAGAGGGCGGAACAGATGTGAAAGCTTAGTTTAAAGTGATGTATCCATTAAAAAAACCTATGCTGCCAAGTGATTGCTTAGTATAATAGGGGATTCGTTCACTATGAGAGGAATTCTACTTTATTGGAAGGAAACCAGGACTTCAGGAAATGTTTTCTATATCAGGGGATTCACTGTAACATGGTATCATTGTATTTATGATTTTATGATGTTAAAATGAATATTAAATGAAACAAAATTCCCAAGGATTACTCGGGAGACAGCTAAGTACATAACATTTAGTACAGATGGTTGGAAGGTACAATTTTGCTCCATCACTGCATCCGTATCCTTGAACGATTTCGACTGAAGACAGCATTTCTTTGAATTTTTCATTAAACCAGACGTCTTGAAATATGAATTCCTTTTATGTTTCTGTGAGTTTTGGCTAAAAGAACCCCAGTGAATAAATCATACAATACTATGTGTCACCAGCACTTGTGAATATTTCTGCTTTGTTATTCTACTCTCAGTAGAGCACCATTGATTATCAAACTCAGCGGAGAGCATTTTATGATCATATATCTCCATTAGCTCCTAGTTTGACTACCATAGATTTTTCTGGTTAAGCCTGCATTATGTATTAGGAAGCCTATCTCTTCAATACAAAGTTTGATTTTATTCTCTCTAAGCCTAGGACTCTTATTATGTATTATGTATAAAGATTCTTATCTTTTATATGTAAAAATAGGAGCACTGTCTTTGTGTTAACTGAAATATATGCCATCTTTTTTTTGTCTTGATTCACAGACAGCATATTTTATTATGAAGATGAATTTCTACAATGAAATGGCTGTCAGGGTAAATATTTCTTCACTTGTTAAACAAATGAAAAGTCAATTGTGCTCCGAATTTGCTTTTAATAAAATGAGCAAACCAGAATAATATACACTTGATTGATATGCTGATGGCAACAGTGGGAAATAGTACGTAGTTAAAAATTAAAGTTACTCTCAGTAGCCTGGGTTATATTTGAAAACTGTAGCTGAATTGAAGGTATTTGTGTGTGTCTTGCCCCACTTAAATGTTCATTGTACCTTACTATATGTGATGATAAAACAAACACTCTGTCTGGGAGTATTCTTACAAATGTAGACATTTATTTAAAATTCTGACAAACAATAGAAGTTTAATGTTCATTAAAGTAGCTGTGCTTATTCTTTCGCTACTACATTACAAATGATGCATTGAATGTCAGAAGAGTTACTTTGTACTGGATGAGTTCACTGCCAGACATAGGTTAGAGCTGCTCTGATCTCATTGATAATATTTTGAGTGATTTGTGATTGATGAAGAAGTGAGTCAACAGTCCTTGAAGTTTAATAAATATACAGTTGTCATGGGAAAGCTGCAAAATATATTAATCTAAAATTAGCATTTTTTTTCCTGAACTCTGGAACTGTATTTGAAGAAATAAAGCAAACAAGGTAAGGACATGAGATAATCCTCGGGATGAAATCTTTTTGCCTCCTTTACTTCTTTATATTGTGGGAAAAAAAAAACCAACAAAATGTGCTTTACTTTGAAGGCCTAGGCAAGGCCAGGCAAAGCATATTACATTTTGGATTCTACCAAACGTAGGGATGTGATGGGGTTGGAGAGTAAGCCAGGGAGATTCTTATAAAGTAGAAAGATTCCCAGAACTGTGGCCTTTCTTGTCTCCCAGATAAGTCAGAATCAAAAGCTGTATCATTACATTCCCATCAGGTTTTTGACTTGGTGGTGTTTCTCTGAAAAGCACAAGAATCCTTCATTTAGTGCATTTTAGAGAGCTCAAGATGTTTTACAGCAATCTAATTGTTCAAAAATGCACTTATTTGCTTTAGTTTATTCTTTAGTTAGCTGGCTTGCAACTATTCTATAGAGGGTAAATGCTATGTATTCATGCAGTTAAAATCAGTGGGAAAACATATGGTGTAAGTGCTCTCTCAAAAGTTAGCTGTGTGCTTTTAGAAGGCACTTGAAGACCAAATTTCAAAGGTAATTATATATTCTAGTCAACTAGTGTTTTGCATTTGGTCTTTCATTTTTGAAATTGAATGTGTTCTCATTCATTTGTAATGGAAATATAATGTTGAATCATTAGGTGATATAAATCTTCAAAGTAGCATTTTTTCAGTCGTCCTTTTCTTTAATGGAAATTTAAATCAGTAGAAAACAAGAGAACAGACCATTATTTCATTGCAAATATCAGAATCCAATTCTCATCTCTCTTTATCTTTTGCAGCCCTATCTACAGAGCAGATTTAAAATGCTACAATTCTCAAACACTGAATGTGTTTTTTTGCCATTATCTGGTTACTGAAGAACTAACTGAAATACAGAACAACAGCAACTAAGGCCTGTTGAGTTTGTTCAAGGAAATTGTATGGCCAGAATTTGAATTTCCTAAGCCAACAGTGCCTTGCGTTCACACATAATGGCTTGATTCACAATTAAAATGCCTCAGTGTTTTGAAAATATAACAATAACCATGTATATTTTTGTATTAGTTGACTAACTTTTGCTTCGTAATATTATTAAATGATTTATTTTGGCTTCCAGTCACTGGTTGAAAAGACATTTTTGATTTTGACATTGGAATTATTGCACATGGTCATAGTTTTGAAGTCAGTTACATCTCTGTCTCCCTGTATTGCATTTACTTGTAACCAGAACTGTCATTTCATCCTTGTAAGTTAAAAGAAAGAACTTGTTTTAATTAATTTTACTTTTGAGCACTACTTTGCAACATGATTCTCCCTCCTAAAAGATTTAAGATGCTATAAATTTTCAGCTGCAAAAATAATCCCTGGGAAAAAAATATTTTCATGAGCAGATGGCTTTTGATATATCAAGGTTTTGCCATTTGTTTTAGTGCTTAAAATAAACGTTATTTATAAGACCACTTACATTTTGATGTTACTTAATGAGGAATATGCATCATTGATTTGACTAGCTTAAGAGGTCATTTAGAACTTGCCCGTTAACAAGCTGTAATCTGCTGAGCACACAATGACTTTGTTTAAAATTATCTGTTCAGTGCTGATCAATGACAATAATTGTTTTGTACCAATCACTGTTGAAACTTGCTAATTACTTTGAAGGGCATACACACTTGCCTCTTTTTTTCCAAGAAATTTTCAAACATTCACCTTGGAATTATAAAGAAATATAGTTTTAATACATTATAAGTCTCTTCGAAAGTAATGCCTGTTATTTATTTCCCTGGAAACTACAGCAGGTACAAATAGCATAATAACACAGTTTGATAGTGCAAATTCTTGGCTACAAGACACTATTTTTCAACAGTTACCACCATTAGCTTTGTATATTTGCCGGTGATGAACAAGAGCCTGCACCAAATTGTAATGTCACAATCAAAAATAACACTTGTCCATTATTATAAAAGCATACCTTTAGAATGTTCACATTACAAGAGCATCATTAATATAGCTGTGTAAAGTGCTCTTTTCCAAAGAGATTAGTCTTCAGTCTTCTGATTTCTGACACATATAATTCGTGAAATAGAAATCAACAAGTGCTACTCCTAAAGTAATTTTATTATGTTAGCCCACAACAGCAGAGGTGGATGTTGGTGGTATAGAAGTAGAGGCTGAACCTTCCTACCAATATTTCATTACATTTTCTTGCTGCAAGATGGCAGCTGAGGGACAGCCTGACAAAATGGTGTCTGACATGGAAGTGCATATGAAGCCAAAGAAGTGGAATTGAATTCCTCCATGTGGAAAAAATGGCATCCATTGACATTCATCAATGCTTGCCAAACATTTATGGAGACCAAACAGTGGCTGTGAGCACAATGAATTGGTGGATAATGAGTCTCAGCAGTGGTGTCAGCAATGTGAAACACAAGCTGCTTACCCAATGGCCAAGCAAGTATTAACAAGCACAGCACGGCACGCAGGCTCTTGTTCATCACTGGTAAAAACACTTAGTTAATGACAGTGATTATGTTGAAAAAATGTGTTTTGTAGCTGTGAATTTGTTCTATCAAATAGTTTTTTTGTGCTTTTAGTAACTGTTGTTGTTTCCATGGCAATAGATAGGAGGCATAACTTTCGGAGCAACTTATGTAGCATAAAATAATTTGTGATATAATGCAGTGTTTCTTTCCTATGATTCATTCAGTGAGGCCATTCTAGACAGGAAGTGGTGTACATAAAGTTAAAATGTGATGTTTAATTGGTACACTGAGCCTATTGTAGTTAATTATAGGTTTATGCAATTTTTCTCTTTTGTCTTTCAGTTTGGGTTTTGATTCTTTAACCCACAAATATCTAGTTCTGCATTTATAGCTGGAAGGTGAAGACTGTCAGAAATAGTTTCAAAGGGACCATAATCCTGCATTAATGAGCACACAGCTATATGGGAGCCAAGTTACTCTTGTTGAAAAATATTGAAGCCAAACAGAGAAACAAAGCTAAGATCCTTATTCACATGCAAAGGATTTTGCTTAATCCCACATCTCTGAAGGCATGCTCATTCTTTCGTCTTTCTATATCCCTTTTTAACCTGATGCACTTGTGTATGAGAAAGGGAGTTGTAAAGACTATGAAATTTACTACAATTTTGTGCAAAGAAAGCATGTTTAGTGTGAACCTTTCTTGCTCCTGTGTTCAGCTGATTACATAACATTTATTTATATCAATGTCTAGAGGTTGAACTCTTATTTATTTATTAAAAACAAAGAAACAATACATAGGTAAGAAGAGAGGAAAAGTATGGTGATGCATAAAGGAAATGCTAACACTAAAAGTGAATATTATTCCTCATACCTTAAGTGAATCATTTTACTTTTTTGTGGCATACCACTCAAAGATTTAGTGCTAGCTTTCTTATGATACTTATTACATCTTACATAAAGAGATAATCATAACTGTACTATATCATCAGGGTATCATCAGTTTAGATTAAATGCCTGTTTTTACTTTAAACAGTAGTTTTGTGCTTGAAGAATGATACCAGAGGCAATGTTTAAAATTATGCAATTGTTAACTAATCTTCACATAGATGGTTCCAGTATGTTATTGTTTTCAGCACAGAAAATGCTGGCAGTTGCAAAATTGCAGTAACTTTCGTTACCACAGTTAGTGATACACAGTTTGACTGCAAAGGAACTGGAAGGAGGAAGGAGTAGAGACAGTTCTAACAGTTTCCTAAGAGCTCTGCCAAAACTTGAAGATGAAGTCACTCTGAGCAAAGTCTGATTTGTGATTTGGGCAAGTGGCAGCTTTTTTCCCCCTTGCTTTCTTTCCCAAATCAAACACAATTTGTAATTCTCTTTCTGCCTCTTCTGCATTATGCTACTTTGGAATAAAAGTTAGGGAAAGAAAACAGTCAACAGCAACAACAACAAAGTAGCAAAAAAGGGATTCACTCCACTTACAAAGTTGTAGCTTGGTTCTGAGGTTCTGGAAAGAGAAGAGTTGATACAAAAGGAAAACAAGAAAAACATTCCTAGTAGATACAGTGAAGAGTTGCATTTCTTGAAACATTTAGTAGCAAGAGACCTAGAGGAAAAGGAGAGCTCCTGGCAAATCCGAATGTTCTTCTTTTCAATACATCTGGTGAACATGGATAGCTTCTGACCATGAAGTTGCTCCTTGATAGCAAGACCTCAGACTTTTTTAATTTATTTAGTAGACTTTGTTGTTCTGCTGTTATGTCTCATAAGATTTCAAAACTGCAAAGGTCACGAGGTGTGAACTGGAGCAGGAATGAACTAAGGCAGAACTAAAGATGGAAATTGAAAAATTAATTTTGAAATACATTTGGAAGCAAGAGAAACAATACAAAGAAGAAACTAAAGAATATTTCATAGCTAAATTCAAGGGTGGAAGAATGTAAATAAAGAGAAATTCAGACACTGAGGACAGAGTAAAAGATTGTGAATCTAGTTTTTGAGATGTACTGATACAAAGTACACTGATCTGTTACAATATAGATAATGAAGACTGAAAACAGCCCTCAGCATGACTGAAAAGAAGTTATGTTTTCCAGCAGCATCAGTATATGTGATGCAGTACGGAGGGATAGATATGACTAGCAAATGGTAGTTGTGATAATTAATGCTTCCCTTCCCTTTCCACAAAATGTGTAGCCAGTAAACCTGTAATCATTTCAGAAACATCATAATTAGTATTTTCATATATGAGGGAATGTTTAAACTGTTTTGTTAAACTAAATACTTGGGGAGAGCCAGACTGAACTGTCTTTTTTTTGAAACTGATGCATTTTAAAATGCATCAAGCTGAATCCTTTCTCATGAAGGACACTACATCATTTCTGTTCTTACTACAATGTCAGAATTAACTACAGATAAAGAGGTTTCTTTTTCTGCTTGAAGCTTCATCTGTTAGGCAGAAGGAATAATATTTTGTGAGAAGATTGTAATTAATGTGTAACAAATAGACACGCATCATCTTACATGGGAAAGACTGACAGTTTGTAAATGATGTTTTCAGAAATCCTCATTCACTGAGTTACTGGGAGGCTTTCTTTCAGTTTACAACATACCCAGAGCACAAAAGAGTGTAAAGATGCTGTAACTTCAAAAAAAAAGCACCTTCTTTTTACTATTCTGACATGAAGCAATGCCACTGGCAGCAGCAGATGTTTCTTAACAACATAAACAGATGCAACATAAACAGTTACTTAAAATTTGATATTATTTGTTCATGTTGGCATTTAATAGTAAATTCATATCAGCATTTAACTACAGTATGTTACATCTTACCTGCATTTTCTTCACTTAAAGATAGTGGTGCCTCTTCTTGATATTGCTTTTAAGATCATCCTATTCTTTGGGAAATATAACAGTTATTTCATACACATAAAAACTTTCAATTTGAAATATACTAAACAAGTTTTTATTTCTTGTAGATTCAGAAAAGATGGAGAGGGTATTATGTCCGAAAATATACCCATAATTACTATGCACTGAAGAAGTACCTAGAAGCCATTTCTCTGAATAATGAGATTGTCAGGTAAAGATAAAAACTCCATTTCCTTTTCTTTTACTTGGAAAAAAATGATTTTGCTAATTAAACTATTTATTTAAGTGTAGGATCCCTTCCATTATCAAGTATATGTATATGTTTCAGTCGTTGTTCTCTTTAATTCTATGTCCTATGCATGTTGTGCTACATTCTCTTCTCATTTTGACTGTTATGAATTCTAATTTCTTTGAATTAACTGGAAATACCTGGCTTGTATCAGGTTAATAAAACAGGATTTGCCTCTTCACCTATATTCAAAAACTAATAGATCATTATGTTACAAATGTGATCTGTTGAATCTTGTCATATCTTCTTGTTTGGAATTCCCTAATATTTGTTTCAGTTCATTAAAGAAAAAAAACCAACAAAACACAACAGTGCTTATAATTGTATAGATATTTTAATCAATGTGTTTCTTTTATTTAACAGGTAAGATGAATGGTATGATTTTATACTTTGTACTTGAAACTATGTCAAAGTTGGCATGTATGAGCTCTTACTTGGCTATTGGTATATTGATATTCTGCTAATTCGAATTCTGCCTTCTGAAATTCAGAGAATAATTTCTAACTATCAGATTAAAAAATAAAATCTGTCTTTCAGATTAAAAAAAAAAAAAAAAAAACACCAAAAAGATAAAACTGAGTTTTCTGGAAAATTTGTCAAGTAGATCATATCATATCCTCTCAGTTTTAAAAATTCTTCACTTCTCAAGTCCAACCAAGAATTGCTGCAGTAATCTTTTGCTCAGGTATATTTGAAACTAATATGTATATTATCTTCAACATTCTTTTGATTAAATCTAACAGATGCTTAGTGAAGATCAGGTGTAGGCCCTCAGCCAAACAGATTTTTCCTGTCATTGGGCTAAGTTGCTGCCAACTGCTTTGGCCCCAAGGTGGCACGGTGTATTTCCTACTAGGAATACTGAACAAGGTGGAGGAGGGATTCTCTGCATATTTGCATCCCCTAGTACATCAAAAGGGAGAGAACAACTTCATTGCTAATAGGTATCTCTGTATATATCAAATATGTCTATTTACATTGTTTGAAATTAAAGGAGTACATTTGTGAACTGGCTGAGTTTTATTCCAGCTTCAGCATTATGGAAATGTATGTGTTTATGGACAGAGTCCCTTGTTACACTTGTGCATTCAGATTAAGCTGCCTTTGAGTGTTTCACACCTCAAGAACACCAAGAAACAACAGAACCATGGTAAATGAAGCAATGAAATTATTTTATCATTTCTTACAGCTACATTCATCAGACTATATGCATTAGTGCTGTGACCATGAATGTAAAGAACTAAGTTTCTCCACAAATAGTACAACCACAGTAAAAAAATAAACTGATTTTTAGAACTTCCATGGTATAAAAAAACAACCAACTAACCAAAAAACACACACTCTAAGTTTGTCATTTCAAAAGTTTTTTTAAGCTGTATTGTTTCTGAAGGTATGCTGTAGTCCTAAACTGTACTGCAGTATGTTTCTTAGTCTTCTATAAAAATGGTAGTAGATTTCTTATCAACAACTACCTGGAATTACATCGCAGGTCCTTTCAAGGTACGGTTTTACCTCATGGTCACCAGAACCAGAGGTTGTGCTTTGTTTTCTTTTCTTTCATTAGGGAGAAGCCTGTACAGAATTATCACCCACTTCACAGGAAGTTACTATAGAATTTTGGACATTCTGTTAGTTTACAGCCTGGTATTTTAAAGGAATTACTGACCAAAGTTTGTTGCCTTCTCTCTCATCTTTTCCCAGTTTTTTTTTTCCCATACAAGACATTTATTTTACCAGGAGGTAATCTCATCTGATATCTACATCTTTACCTTCCAGCTTTAATACAAGCCGGCCTTATTTAATAGCTGCCCTCATTTAGTAACTGGACCTTTATCATTTGTCTTTACTGTGAAAGTCCCAGGAGAAAGTAAACTTAATAGAAGCTGCCCCAGTTTAAAGCCATAGAGGGATGTAATTAAGTTTAACAGAAATTGATTTAACAGAAATTGACCTAAAATATAATTAAATAATAATAGTCATATTATGTGTGAGTTTGCACACCTTAACAGACTGCTTATCCTAACCTAAGATGCTGTTTTTGTAAGAACTGGAGATAGCTATCTGTTTTAGTTCCCAGACTGGCTAAAGAATAAAGGGCAAAAAACAATAAGTTTAATTGCTGTAGAGTCTTCATAGAGTCCTTAGTTAAGAAGTGATTCAAAGAATCCCTTGACAGATGGCAAAAGAATGAATTTGTACACTGAGTTCTTTCTTCATAAGGGCATACTCAAATTTTTCTTTAAATTTGTATTGTTTAGCTTCAGTGTAACTTTGTAATGAGTTTCTTAGTCGTAAATTCTGAAATTTGTGCAAGGTTTCAGAGAGTCACAGAATGGCGGAGGCTGGCAGGGTCTTCTGGACACCATCTGGTCCCACTCCCCTGCTCTAGTAGGGCCATACAGAGCAGATTGCCCAGTACTTTGTCATTGAAACTTTTGAGGATCTCCAAAAGGGAGATTCCGCAACCTCTCTGTGCCATCACCTGCATGGTAAAGGATGCTTCCTGGTGTTCACAGGGAACTTCTTGTCCACAAACAGTGGACAGTTTGTGTCCACTGTCTCTTGACGTGGCACTAGACACCACTGAAAAGAGCCTGGTCTTAGGAACTTCTGAACCAACCAAGTAGGAATCATAGTCTTAAATATTTTTTTAAATAGAATTTTGCTATGTAGATTTTTTGTAATAATTCTTCATATGTTGCAACCATTTGTATTTGAATAAATGCCGATGCATACTGTATTCTGCCTGAATATAGATTAACTGGATGGTTGCATACATAAATGTATTAAAATTAATTCAATTATTTCTCATTAAAATTACTATATTTCATGTTGAGGAAAAATACTTTGTTTTGAAGCATTCTTAAAGCTACATTTAACATCACTGAGACTTGGCAAAATTGCTACAAAGGGAAATATGCCAAAAGCAATTAGCATAGACTGTAAGTCCATATGATATGTTAGAATTTTGTTTTTTGTGAAGCTGTTTCCAATCCATGGTAAGGAAATGGACATCACATAAATTAGCATGCTAGTGCCATTGTATCAAAATAATTTATGGATAACGTCAGTTGTCCAACTGTGTGATTAACTTACACACAGTAAGTCTAAGGTTATCTGCACACTGGCCTTTAAACTACAGTAAAGCAACTTTGCTGTATGTCAGGTGTGCAAGTGGAGATAAGATTTTGGGATGTAGTGTTCCTTTTGCTGATGAATGGCACCATTTAGTTTTTTCCTACGTATACAACTCAGTAAGATAGCACTATCAGAAAACTAGCCAAGCGTTGGCAAAGTACTGGTGTAGGGGGTTCCTGTATAATCAAGGCAGGTAGTTTAGTCTTTGCAATTGAATAAACATCGACTTACATATAGCAGACTAAGACCAGAGCCTAGTTTTAGCAAGTATCATAGTTTATGTAAACACTGTTAACTCATGGATTTCACACTGAGAATATTCACACCATTTTTTTTCTCTTTTCTTGTTGGTTCCTGTAGTGAAAGGGTCTTGAGTGTGGCCCTTGTGTTTGACTTTCATCTAAGTTAGACTAGATGTTCTATCAGCAGATTTAGAATCACCATCATCATTAAAGCTTCTTCAGATAGTGCTAAAAAAAACAGATAATGCTAAATGATAAAAATCACTTGGTAATACATATATTTACAAATCCTTTATGCAGTCTAATTATTTTATAATCTTATTGAACAGTGAAATATGGTACTGTTGTATGTTGCTGGTTATCTAATCCAATGTTTGGCTTTTCTGTAAATATGCTTGATCTCATAGCATGGAAAAAAAGTAAGAGTATTGGGTCTATTCTTGATTACTGGAGCATTTCTGAGTTTTATTTATTTTTAACATGAGAAGTACTTTGCTTCTTAAAACTTTTGAGGTATTGCTGTTTTCCACAAAAAGGGCTTGAAGTAAATCATCTGTTTTCATACTAATATGAGGAGAACTTGTTCAGCCTCCATCTGTCTGATTCTTTCTGGTAAAGATAAGTCCAGGTGCTGGCTATTTTCTCAAGTGTCAAAGTATTTTGAAGAATGCATATATTGTCTTATAATTCAATTAAAACGTTCCTCCTCATTGACTGCAGAAGCAATTGATTCTGTAGTCTATTTTCAATTAGTGCCAAAGCCTTTCAAACAGCTCCTTGGAGTTCTTAAAACAATAAAAAGCTCATTTTTGTAATGTTGTCTTTCACTTTATGCTTAATTATCTAATTTATCTTTAACCCATCTTCTTTTTCTTGTCTTCAAAGATATCTAAAGGAAACAGACTATAGTTTTAAAGTTATTTGCCTGTAATTAGAATTTTCTGAATGTAAACATATCCTGTCAGCTTTCTCTGGGAGCCATAGAAACAGAGATGAGTGCCAAATATGCTTTCTTTCATTTGAATATTAATCTTGAGTGATGGTTCCTGTAACTTGAGCCATCTATGCCTTTTCTAGAGAATTTTAGCCGTAACTGCTAGATGTGATAAGAAACATGGAACTAGAATCACTGAGGTTGTTCTTTGTGATTTGATCTACTTTCCTGAGAACGATATCAAGATGTGTGCACTAACTTAAGTGGGAATTAGACCAGAGAAAAGCTTTAAGAGAATCATTTTAAAGTGTTAAATCTAGTTAGATTATCTACAGTCATGTATATTATTATTGGTGTTCCTTCTTAAGTGTGTTGTCCGTAAATCTATCTTTCAGTGCAGTTTCAGAGCATTAAAAAAATCCATGAGAAGTTAGCCCATTTTCAGGTCTTCCCTTTACCTGCCTTTATAGATATTAACACAGTTGTACATACACGTATGATTTTATACAGCATATGTGCTTATATTCCTGTAGGCTTTCAATAATGCATTTTGCAAACCAAGACTTTTTAGATGAAGTTTTTTCTTTTTAGTTTGGTCATGAAATTGA